GGGGGGGGGGGGAGAACATTCTACTTTTGATATGGAGCAAAAGAACCTGGGTGGGAGTTGCCCTCCTAGCAGGCTAGGGGTGGGCTGGGGACAGCATCACCTGCTCTTGCCCTCTGGAAATGATAAGTTGGGCTATCCTCCCATTTCAGCAAGCAGGAATTACAGACCACTTGCTACCTGAGTATTTTGCCCTGTATTCAGAAGTGAATGGGAAGTTGACTTATGGAAATCAAAACTGAAAAGAAAGCACCAATGACTTACCGTAGTGTCTGTAGTTTACAATCTGGATGTTTTAGCCCATCACATAGCAATTTCAAGTCTCCGTCATCCATGTCAGAGGGAGAGAGATCCAACTCTTTCAGTGACTGGCTTAGGGTGAGAATTTCACCAAAATGCCTGCACCAGAATTCTCTCAGGTTCCACGTGGAAAAGCTGCAGAAAAGAGTCAGATAAAGTAAAATTATAATTTTAAAACTGATCATGAACCATAGTCTTGAAAAAAAGTGGAGAAAATGTGATTACTTGATTAAACTTTTTAACTTTTAATTTCAAAAAGTTAAGCAGTCAAGAGAGAGTTACACAAATTACACTAAAAAGAAAACACTGGTAGCTTACCATAGTTTTTCTAATTTACAGTTGGGATGTTTTAGCCCTTCACACAGCACTACCATTTCTTGTTTGCCTATCTGACAGTAACCCAGAGCTAATTCTCTCAGTGTCTCGCTTCTCCTGAAAACGTTAGCAAGTTCTCTGCACTGGGATGTTGTGAGAAACCCTCTAAAAACCCTGCAAGGAATAGTGAGATGAATTAGAATTATATTTTTGAAAATACTTTCAAACTACAGTCTTGAAAGAACTGGAGTTAATATCATTGTTTAATTAAACTAAAGCTGTGCCTCCCTGAATCAAATATCAGAATTTAAACAGTCAAGACCAAGTTATACAAATCAAACTGAAAATACTGGTGACTTACCTTAGTTTCTCTAGTTTACAGCCTGGATATTTTAGTCCCTCACATAGATATCTAAAAGCTGTATCATCTCTTGTACCGTGAGACAGATCTAACTCTGTCAGTCCCTGATTTTGCCTGAGACCTTCAGCAAGATGCCTGCCATGGGATAATGACAAGGACACACTGGAAAGCCTACAAGAAATAGGCAGATGAGTTACAGGTTTTTTTTAAAAAAACAACCACAACCTCCAGTCTTGAAAGGACAGAAATTAATGCAATGATTTCATTAAACTAAAACTGCCTCTCTACAGATAAATATCCAGCTAAAACATTCAAAAGAGACTTATACAAATCAAATGGAATGCACTGATGACTTACCACAGTTTCTCTAGTTTACAGTCTGGATGTTTTAACCCCTCACACAGCAACTGTATTCCTTCATCGTGAATGCCACTATCAGACAAATATAACTCTCTTAGACTCTGTTTTTTCTTGAGAACTTCAGCAAGATTCCTGCAGGAAGATCCTGTCAAGAGGCCACGACGAAGCCTGTAGAAAATGGATAGGTGAGGAGTTACTGTACAATCATATTTGTGAAAACAACTATAAACTATAGTTTTGGAAACACTGGAGGGAATGTGATGATTCAATTAAACTGAAGCTGCATCTCCATGAATGCATTTGTAGTCGTTCACCAATCAAAAGAGACTTAGACAAATCTCTCAGAAGTGAAAAAGACCCAGTGACTTACCAGAATTTCTCTAGTTTACAGCTGGGATGTTTTAGCCCCTCACACAGCAGTTCCATGCCTTTGTCATCTATCTCACAGGGAGCCAGCGCTAACTCTTTCAGATTTTCATTTTTCCTGAGTACTTCAGCAAGACACTCGCCACAGGATTTTGTCAAGTGCTCATCATAAAGGCTGCAGAGAATAGTCAGAAGACTTACAAAGATGTTTCTGAAAGCAACCATGAAATACAGCCTTGAAAGAGCGGATTATGACCTGGCAAGACTGAGTGGCTTTGGGTTCAGGGTCCTGCAAGTTCTGGGACTATACCGTCTTTGGTGCTGGATACAGTGGCAGTGCCCCAGACAGACCCAGTGAGCAATTCGGGGGTCCTCCTAGACTCACGATTCCTGCTCGAAGAGCAGGTGGCAGTCGTGGCTAGGAGGGCCTCTGCACAACTCCGTATTGTGTGCCCATTGCACCCCTTCCTGGATCAGGAGGCTCTGCTCACAGTCATTCATGCCCTAGTCACCTCCAACTGAACTACTGTAATGTGCTCTACATAGGGCTGCCCTTGAAGAGTATTCAGAAGCTTCAACTGGTGCAGAATGCAGCAGAACAGAGTTATGTGTGCTCCTAGAAGAGCATATATTGCACCTCTGCTTCGCGAGCTGCATTGGCTGCCAGTTTGCTTCAGGGTCCAATTCAAGGTGCTGATTTTGACCTTTAAAGCCCTTCATGGAATGGGGCCAGGTTATCTGAGGGACCGCCTCTCCCTGATCACATCAGCCCATCCCGTTAGATTCAGCAGGGAAGGTATGCTACGTGTTCTGTCAGCCAGGGACTTGCATCAGGTGGGTCCCAGGAGGTGGGCCTTCTCTGCTGCGGCCCCCTCCTTGTGGAACATTCTTCTCCTGAAGTGAGGCTCACCCCTTCCCTGCTGTCATTCAGGAAGTCCCTCAACACTGGTTGTGTCATCAGGCCTTTGGGAACCAGAGACATTCTTAGATGGCCTCACTATAATTGATATTCTGCTCTCTCCATGGGTTTTGTACATTTTAAAACCTTTTTTTAAAAAGTGATGTTTTTATTTTAATAACTTTTTATTTTTTTGTATGACTGTTTTTATTCACTTGTTATTTTATTTTAGTTGTTGCACGCTGCCCAAAATCACTTTGTGTGAGATGGGCAACTATATAAATGTGATAAATAAATAAATAAAGATTAAACTAAAATGGCTTCTCCAGAACCTAAACAGTGAAGAGAGCATTATGCAAATCAAACTGAAAAGAAAAGATGGGTGACTTACCGTAGTTTCTCTAGCAAACAGTTGGGATGTTTTAGCCCCTCAGACAGCAGCTTTATTCCCACATCATTTATGCCACCATCAGACAGATATAACTCTCTTAGTCTCTGGTTTTTCTTTAGCACTTCAGCAACATGCCTGCAGCTGGATTCTTTTAAGAAGCCACGGCGAAATCTGCAGCAAACAAGAAGTCGTGACCATGAATGCCTGGGGCACAGCTCTACAATCCACCAGGCCTTGCGCCAGTACAGAAGGTGAGCTAAACCCAATTATGCCTCATTAACAAGTGGTGCTGTCCTTGCACTTTTAACATGGGACCAGTGAAGGATAGTGATTGGTGGATTCTTCTGCCTTCATTTCTCCTCCCCCTGAGCCACAGAAAAAGCCACCACTGACTGCTCTCCTTCCTGTGCAAGCTGGAGGATAGGGAAATGGAGGAGAATACTTGCAATGATAGATTTCACTTGACACATCCCACAGAGAGAACAGGATTTGCAAGGAGCATTTGGGGGGATCCCTTCCCTGACACCCCATGCCCTTTTTCCTGTCATCAGCCTTGCTAAGGGGCACAGAGAAGAGGTGCAAATTGAAGATGGTGGGAAGATGATGGTGATAAAGAGCAAGGTCTGCCCTTAACTAATGCTGCAGTTTTAAAGCACCAAGTTAAAATTGTAGCAGCTAAAGATGACTTTAGGCTGCCTCAGCTGGGGGATAGGGAAGAGATGAAAGCAACATCATGAGGCAAGCATAAAGAAGCCATTACCCCCTGTTTGAGATGCCACAGTGAGTGTACATCTCTCCTCTCTCTCCTGATTAAAAGGCTTTCAAACTTCTGTATTATCATACTGTGTGGATAAGGATTTTCATCATTCAGTAAATAAAACTTTTCATTACATACTATTTTGTTTCTAACAAGCTATTGGAATGGCAACTAGACCTAAGTGTTCAACAGCTGCTTCAATTTCAACTACACCACTATCTGCCAAGCCAGGCAAGATGGTGGCGGAGGATTCTTTTACTACTTTACTAAAAGAGATCCTGGCTCAGGTACAACTCTTGAAGCCGATGCAACAAAATCTGGCAGAGCTTAAAGCTGATTTAAAAATGATGCAAGAATGAATGGTTCGCTATGAGGATTGTTTAAATGCTCACGAGACTATAACTCAACCCAGTCATAATATTTTGCATAAATGAATTACTGATCTGGAGTCACAACTGCATACATTTGAAAAACCTACGTATGATTAGTATTGAAAACCTTCCAAATCAATCAAACCTGGCTGAATTTATGGAAGTTCTTTTTCAAAAAGCTCCTTTCTTTGGGAGCAGACTTTCCAGTCAAGATTGATCATGTGATTACATTTCCTGTACTGAGAAGGAAGACTGGAACTAGTTCCAATATTATTATTGTGCAATTCCTCCATGTTACTACAAGAGATGAGATTTTATGTATACTTTGTCAAGAATCAGTAAAGTCTCCTTTGAAGGGTAGTCAAAGCAAGATATCAATTTATCCTGATTTCACCAAAGAGGTTTCAGAACTATGAAAGCAGTTTGCAAAATCTCAGAGTCTTGCCAGATCAATACAACTCTAATATTTCATGTGTTTCCCATTCAAATTTTGCATCAATCATCAAGATCAGATCCATAAATTTGATAATCCCCCGAATGCAGAGGCCTTTATGTTATCCTTAATATCTGCAGATGGGCACGCTTGATGGCGTTGCATTCTATGGAATCTGCCGTGGGTGAAATCAGAGTTTGCCTACAGAAAAAGCCTCAGATTAAAAGTCTACATGCTAATTTTTATTTTTTTTTCTGTACTTCAACTCCTGTTTGTTTTGCTTACTCCTAGAAATAAAATGTCTGGGCATACTGCCACCTCTATTGTTTATTTTTCAACATGCAGCACTGTCTTCTTTTTCTTCAGTTAGTAATGTTTGAAACTGTTCTGTAATTTTCAGTGTAAGAAGAGAGATGAAATCACCCTTTGGGAAGTCATTAACTTCTGTGATATAT